TAGCAGTCAGTAATAGTGGCGACAACACTGTCAGCATACTGCTGGAGACTTGTTAATAGGCTCTATGTTGATGTTCCCAAGGGAGATACTAGTCGATTGTCTGATAAGGCAATGGAAATAATTATTATTCTTTTGTTTGTGCAGATTAGAATGGCGGGTTTTAGGTAAGCAATAGCTTGTTTTAAACAGATAGAGCATCAAAATATCAACGATTAGCGCATCTAGTAAAGGCTTTGGCACTCATTTAGATCCTGATACGCATGTTTTGTTCTTTGTGCGTTATAAAACGTTGAAAAAGCGAGTGACTAGCATTCGTTTTAACTTTAATTTGTTTTTAAAAACTGATTGAAATTAGTGTGTTTATCTTGTTGTTTGAATTGTTAATAAATGAAACGTATGTTGGATGACGTTCCTGAACAATAACATACAGTTAACACGTCAACAACAGCTTCAACTCTAGAGCTGAAGTACTCACTACCGTGTCAATTTTGGCTAGGCATTTGGATATTTGATTTAGAAGCAATGCAAAAGCCTATGAACACTCGTTTTATAGGTTTTCAGATGTGCTCTTTTGAATGGTGCGATTTACAAGGTTCAAAAACGCTTTCATCTGGGTTTTCAGAGATCCGAGCATTGGGCCGTGGCGTAATGCGATCTGCGCATTGGCGCAATACAAAAGTTTTTTGAGTGCTCGGCCCAAAGCTTTTCCTTCAGCTACCGATTCTGGACAAAGTTTGTGACATGCAAAGAAATAAAGAATAAGCCGCTTTGGTTGGGATTTGAATTTCGTTTTCATGTCTAGTGACCAGACTACTACAGTTCAGGCTTTCCTCTGCATCCACTATCGTACAGAATATGCAGTATTGAGAACCGCTGCTGCACCCTGAAAAGTGCTTGATTTCCTCTTGGCCCAGGACAAGGCGCTTATCATCACTATTGATTCTGTCCAGAAATCTATACTTTGGTAGACCCATGATTAGGAATGATGTTTAGTAGACAGGTCCTGTTTCTAGTCAAAGTTTATGTGGCGGAGAGGGCTAACGACCTAACTGCCTTGACAATACTTCGGCCAAGCTACAACATACAGGTTGAACTGAACTACCCGATACGGGGCTTTACTTTTCGCCACAATTTTGGTGTACAACTACAAAGTTATCCACTGGTTTCACGGCTATTCGCGTAGTTCGCAGTCTACTTGCCGATCCTCTCACGGAGGCGTGAAAACTAAATAGGATATCCTTTACTCGTCCACGGACGCCGCGAGATTTAAAATTAATCTCTCACTTGACCCTTTAACTGTGCTCGAGTACTTGAGCGGGAAACAAGGTAACAAGACCTCTGTAGCCAGTTTCATAGAGCCGCTTTTAGATTACTCGAAAACCTTCGCGTTACGTATTACTATGTAACGGCCACCACTAATGGATTTGCACGCAACCAAGTGGCAAACGCCTAATTCAGGATTCTCCCCTCTATCAACGCAACCAGCATCCGCGGTAACTACGTGTTTCGTCATACACACTAAGTGCCAGCTATCCTGAGGGAAACTTCGGAAGGAACCAGATGGTTCAATCAGTCTTTCGCCTCAAAAATTAGTTGTTTAAAGTTCTTTCTAGGCGCTCAGACCCATAGCCACCTTAATTACGCTGTTAATCTTGACAGGAGAAGAAGAACGAACGAACGAATGTTCGAATTTTAATTTAATTGCAAATGATCGTTCTACCAACTACAATTACTTGTTCTATCACTGTCCTTTTACAATAAGAATTTGTTTTATTCATGATGATGCGTGTTTCATTTCTTATGCATAGATCATTAACAACCTGTGGAAAAAGGGTTTAGGTGCTTGAATATTAAGATTTCTTTGTACAAGAAGGATTAGTGAGAATATACGCACACTCTTGAGCCGCGGTAACGAGCAGCACGGAAAATGCTCCGCCCACATCGTTCAAAGTTATCAGCATACGTTATGCATATTAACATTTTTAAAATGTAATAATGATCTTCTAGGATAATGTTTCATTCTTGTGTGTTGAGATAACGTAAAACAAATGAATAATAAAGAGTAAAATAAAAAAACTAAGACTAGACTCTAACTCTCCTTCAACTGATAACCAGAAAGATACTGAAAATGGCTATTGTTGGGCAGCTAAAACTTTTTTCATGAGTATTTTCTTCTTTTGTACTCGAATACTTTTTAGAAAATACTCGTACTCGTACTCATACTCGACGCCCAGTAGTCGTACTCGAGAATGTGGTACTCACCCATCCTTGATCGACCACTTGTAAAGCCTTCGTCCATCCACTCACCGAAATCGTGCGCTTGACCTATGCTGTCAAATAACGACCAAATAATTAACCGACAAGTACTAAAGTGACTGAGAGCACCATAACAAACAATCGAATTTATACGAGAAATTTAATGTGTGGCCACGTTATTTCTCTTGCTACGTAATTTAAAGCACAGGCACGTTGAAATGACTATTATTTAGCATTTCTATGGCAATGGCGTAACCAGGATTTTTAGACTGTTGAGCCGTGTTCCACACAGTCAAAAAAACATCAGTGGGTCTAGGTGGGCCGAACGTTTCCTGCTTGGGCAGGAAATCTTTCCGACTGTTGTCAGTTCTGATATTGTCATTTTTCGTGCTGCTCGTTACCGCGGCTCAAGAATGTGCGTATATTCTTACTAATTCTTCTTGTATAAAGAAGTCTTATTATTCAACCACCTAAACCCTTTTCCTACAGCTTATTAATGATCTATGCGTAAGAAATGAAACACGCATCATCATGAATAAAACAAATTCTTGTTGTTGTTGTTGTTTTTTTGGATTCAACGATTTATTTAAAGTAAACAAATGTAGAGAGTGTACCAAGGAATACAGGACGCCTGACTTTATGTCTTATGCCCTATGAAAGGAAATGTAGATCTGGGAAATAATTGATGTTTAAAGCTGTGCTAGTATGAGTGTCCGAGATTCTTCAGATATATTGTCTTCATAATTTTGTGCTGTTGCAATTGCTTGTTGGAGTAATGCTGTGTCGTAAGGTTTAATTCTGGGGATGTTGCTGAGCTGATGTATATAGCGGTATTCCAAGTGCTGCTCGTATGCATACACGAGCAATGTTTTGTCTGTTTTGTTCCTACAATCTTTTTCATTAAAAACGTCGAAATGCAAGTTTCACTGGGACTAAGAGAAGGTCATAAACCACTAACATTAGATCTAAATACGTCGGCCGATTCGAAACCATTGTTACCCCGTTTATCGTTCAACTTTAAGACAGCAAATTGGCAGTTATACCGTCGCAATTTAAATAATCTTCTACGTAATACTAACACATCACAACCAATCAAAACCGTACAACAAATCGAGTATTTTACAACAGCTCTCACCGATTGCATTGTCTCTGCAACAAAGTCATCGATAAAACCGACCAGCCAGACATTAAAAAACTTCAAACCATCAAAAACGACGAAAAAACTAATTGAATGTAAATATCGAGCGTATCGGCAATGGAAGAATATTAATATGTCAATAATATTGACATCGATAAGAAAGAATATTACGGCAGCAAATTACTCTTGACGAATGCACTTCGAAATGATCGTATAGCTCAGTTGAAGCAAATCATGTTATCGTTGAGCAATAGAAAGATGCATTCATCCAAATTATAGGCAATAGTTCGAAAATTCCACGACCAAAGAACAAAACAAACATATTTGAGTGAATTGAAAGATCAAAATATGACCGCTACGTCCGATAACGACAAAGCCGAGCTATTCGCTGCGTACTCCGAAAATGTTGCATTCGTCGAGAAACCTGACCATCTACCATTCCATCACCAAGTAACGAAACAAGCCGAAGAAATCAAAAAGAAATTTAAGGCACAAAAAAACAAGGAGAAAACGCCACCGGTCACCACCAAAGAAATAAAGCAATATTAAAACAATTACAAAATAGCTCACCCGGTCCAGACAATGTTCACAATCGATGTCTCAAGAACTACACAACGTCACTCGTTCAACATCTTGTTATTATTTTTAACGCAATCATTGCTATCGGTCATATTCTAGATGCTTGGAAAAATGCCAATATCATTCTGCCATTGAAACCGAAAAAAGATAAACAACAACCGTCGAGTTATCGCCCAATCAGTCTTCTCAGCTGCATCGGAAAGCTTCTTGAAAAGGTCATCAGACAACGACTCATAAAAGAATTTGACGAAAGAAATATCCTACCAGCTCATCAAGCAGGCTTCTGAGCCCGAAAAAGCACCATGTACAACATAATTATGTTGTACATAGTGATGTTTGTGTTGAAAATGTACCTGTGCCAGTGCCAAGCAGTATACTGACGGTGGTGCCGCCACTATTACTGACTGCTA